GTTAAGATATAGTACAATATATTGTATTAACAGTGTTTGTGTTCCCTTGATTATTAAACTACATTAATATAAACAGAGTTCATAGTTAGTGAAACGTAACAGACTAACTAATTATTAACATATTATTTATATATTTATTAAAAAAAACCATATTTATTAAAAATAGAATGATACAATTTAGAAGGTACCGTTGTTTTTCTAGTTGAATGTGCTGATCCCAGGCAGGGTATACCAGGACATATTGATGTTGATGAAGAAACTTTCGTCCAAGGGGATTTAATAAAATTTGAGTGTACAGAAGGGTATGATCTTGTTGGTGCTGATACTTTAGCATGTAATGATGATGGTTCATGGTCAGGACCTTTGCCAGATTGTATCAAGAGTAGGTAGTTCTTATCCTACTTGTGATGAGGGTTATATACATCATATCTGTCAACTATTTGAATAGAATGATGTGGATCATTTCTTTTAATTACCTTTATTTTACTCACTCATTTACTAAATACCATTGAAGTTTCACATACGCTGATTGACTGTATATCAATTCCTATCAATACACTCTGTGTTCAGTGATGTACTTCTTTACACTTCATATCATTGATACACCACTTGTGGCTGATTATCTCTATGTAAATATGCCATGTATTATTGCAATGGAGCTTTACATATTTGACATGAAATCATTCTATTTTAATCATTGTGTTTGTAAACATGTTGATTTTCATTTGATGCTGGGAAACCATGAGACATTGTGTGCCATTATCATATTTTCCATTGTTCCCACCTGTTCTTTATTCATTGATTTATTTCAATACACACTATACATGCAGCTGTTAATTTTTATTTTTATTTGATATTGACAGATGATGATTTGTCATGCATCTTAGCAATTATTTTTCATTCACAATCCCAGAAACTCTCAGCCATCGTGAGAAGAACTAGTTTCATTAAGTTAACTTTTTTTCATTAATCATTTCCAATGTCTGCAGGAAAGAAAGTAAGAGTCACTGGTTCTGATATAGCACCACGTCCAGGAACAAAAATATTTGAGGATTCTCCAGATAATCCTGTTGAAATTGATGCTAGCTTTCCAACTGATCCGAAAGGTGATGATGCCTCAACAGGTGACAATCTCTGGAACCTTGACACGTGGTTAAGTAATGATCCTGAGGGATATGGGCCACGTCTTTCTGAGAACAATCGAGTACTGACACCAAATCAACGTGATACCTATGTTGATGCTGGTGATGATCTTGACTTTCCTAGAGTTACATCCAACTTTGATACGCAAGGGCTGAAGTGTGATGATATTAAATATATTTGTGCTGAGTTGAGTGAAGACCCACGTACTACAGGAGACTTTGACTTAGAAGGAGTACCTAACAGTAATATATTAAGAACCTGTGTGGAATTGGATTGTGAAATACGTAAGTAAAAATATATATATTTGACTATATCTGGTCTGATCACTATATCTGATTGAATCTGTCTGTCCTTTCTGACTGGTTAAATTCGTTTCTTCTGATTGGTTATCTATCAATTTTTACCTACAGCTTCTATTACTACTAGTTGTGGTTAGTTAAATCTGTCAGTACTGGTTGGCTTAATCTTCCGATTCTTGTTGGTTGAATTTAACACTTCAGTTATTGAATCTACTACCTGACTAGTTTAATCTGCTTCTGAATCACCAAATTTACTACTTTTGATTGGTCAATTTGGTTGTTTGAATATACCACTTGTGATTGTTTGAATCAACCATATTTGGTTTGTTTAATCTGTCACTTATGGCTAGCTGAACCCAAACCACTTTTGACTTATAGTTATTTGAATATACCACTTCTGAATACCATGGGTGAATGTGCCACTATACCCTTAAGTGTGCCTACTGACTTAACAGAGTCTCTGAAGCTATTATGGATGAAATTGCCATAGGCTCATTTGGGAAGCCAAAGCCACTGTACAGTAGGTGAGTATGCCACACTCATTGGGAAGGCCAAAGCCACTGTACAGTAGATGAGTGAGTATGCCACACTCATTGGGAAGGCCAAAGCCACTGTACAGTAGGTGAGTATGCCACACTCATTGGGAAGGCCAAAGCCACTGTACAGTAGGTGAGTATGCCACACTCATTGGGAAGGCCAAGGCCACTGTACAGTATGTGAGTGTACCATAGGCTCATTGGGAAGGCCAATTAAAGCCACTGTACCCAATGTGAGTGTGCCATAGGCATTTGGGAGGCCAAAGCCACTGTACAGTAGGTGAGTATGCCACACTCATTGGGAAGGCCAAAGCCACTGTACTCAATGTGAGTGTACCATAGGCTCATTGGGAAGGCCAAAGCAACTGTACAGTAGGTCAGTATGCCACACTT